GTACAATATACCCCAAAGCCTTATTCTAATGATTAGGGCCGCTGTATTATGTAATCTTCTTCCTTTATCTCCCTCCTCACTTCCATGTCTTGCAGCTTATAGATTGCCACTGTGTTTCTAAACTACTACTATTACTACTACTACTACTACTACTACTACTACTACTCCTGCTGCTGCTGCTGCTCTTACTACTAATAGTAGTAGTACTACTTCTACTTCTACTATTACTATCTTACAATCATGTGTGTGTCCATCTGTCTATCAACAGTCGGGTTGTAATAGAACCTGACTTTCCAAAATCAACACTGCGAGCAATACTCGTCCAAATCCATTCTCTCCTTGCTAGTGGTAAGTTGTACTCTCGCGTGTAGTTATACTTCCCTTCACACTTGCCCCTTGACTTCAATGACGCGTGGTACAGTATGAATGCAGACAATTACCCACAACCGCTTCAAACAGCATGAACTTATCACCATCACTTGCTATGTTCTGTAATGCTACTTGTAAGCCTAACTCATGCTGTTCAAGATAGGATATTCTCGACCGTAGATTTGGATTTGCCCTTGGTTGTTTAATCTGCTTTCTGGCAACTAGAAAAAAACTATCCTAATTCGTATGTGTTCTGCGTGATTAACCTGGCTCTGATTCCATTTACCACATTTCGGCATCTTACGCTTGACAAGGCGATGTCATGCCACGATGCCGTTATGTCGTCAGTCAATTCAAACCACTTCGGCATGATGGTAGAAATAGTAGAAGTAGTAGCCGTGGCAGCAGCAGCTGAAGAAGAAGTGGCGCGGCAGAAGTGGAGCAGTAGCTAATGTTATCCTCGGTCGTAGCCGTAGAACGTAAGCCTAAAATCAGCAGGGTTGTGGTGAGTCGTAGCTGGTTAGTACTGGCATTACCCTACTTCCGCCACCTACACAAAGTCTTACCAACTATGAAGAGTTTCAGAAAACAAAGGATCCGCGGAGGTTCGAAAAGCCTCGTCTTCGTGACGGGCGACCGTATCCGGCTCACAGCCGCAGGGGAGTTGGAATTCCTGGGTCGGAAGGACCACCAGGCGGGAGATAGACAGTAAGGATTCAAGGTTGACTTTACCGGGTCAACTACATCAGTATAGCTTCGGAACCTGATCAAGGTACCTTGAGTCTTTGTTTGGGCTCTCTTTATGGATCCAAATATTTTGGTGTTGTAGGACGAGGGTTTCTTAATCAGGATCGAACGGTTGAATCTTTGATGTGTTCTGTTAAGCATCGGAGGCCCCGGGACCAATGATTCAAACAACAGCATCAAAGTGCATCTTCGCCTGACCGTATACTCAACTACTAGATGCATGCACATCTTTATACTCGACACTTCATGGTGCAAGAGTTCCTTCGTACACATGGACTTGACCTCACACTTGCAAGGGGCACCTGCACCACGTGTCACATGAAGCATGAATGAACACAAGAACGCTTTCTGCACGTAGAGAAGCCATCCATGTACGTATATATGTATGTATGCATGCATGTACATGTATGTGCAGGAAGCACAACCACTTACTGTTCACTGACATGTTCTTGATGTGGCCTCTCCCTAAACCCTAACACCCAAAATGTGGCATTTTGGGCTATAAGGTTGCTTACACCCGTCGACCTGCTGTATCGTGCAAGGGTTTAGGATTCACACGCAAGGGGATCCAAAAATGCTAGCCAGCAGGGCTCGGGTCGTGCTGCAGGTTGCAATTACCTGTAGAATAAGAGAGGCAGCATCATGGTAATCGCAGTAACAACAGGAATTGCATGAATAACGGCAATCTTGACTAGCAGTAGCAATCATCATCATCATCACCATAATGATACTAGCTAGTAGTAACAAGCTTCTAGGCCGTCTGCTCCCAGGGTTCACGGTGACATGGACGTTTCCTAAGGTTCTTGAGTTTAGGCTTGAGACGGGCAGTAGTGTGCGGTTTTAGGCTTCTTTGAGCTTCTGAAACCCGATCCCTACAGTGTGAGTGACCTTAATGAGTGATCATTCGTGCTAAAGGCCTAAGGTTCACCTCAGCCTCCCCTCACTTCAGACTCATCGAGAATCCTGGAGCAAACTCTAGCCACTAGCCCCCTTTACCCTAAACCCTCAACTCTAAACCGCAACCCGCAATGACAAAGCAGCGAACCCTTAGTAGGAACCCTTACAAGAGCCTACAAATAAGCAGCCTTCCTACCCTGTTTGAGCCTTGCCGTAGGAACCCTTTACATAGAACCCTTCACTCTTTAGCGTTTAGGGACCCTTTACATAGAAAACCCTCCAGTTGCCAGGAAACGCTAAGCGCTAAATCCTGACACTCACATGTAGAGAGCCTTTGCTTGGATACCTAAACCCCTAAACCTAAACCCTAAACTCCTAAGCCCTAAACCCTAAAGCCTAAACCCCTAATCAAACTCCAAACCCTTAGGCCCCTAAGACCCTAAACCTAAACCCCCTAAACCCTACACACAAAACACACAGCTTTTTTTGTCATAACCCTAAACCCTAAAACCCTGAACCCTAAAACCTTCTAAACCCTGATAAACCCCCTTATAAACCCTGATAAACCCTTAATAAACCCCCACCCCCTGGAGGTGAAACTGCGGGGCTTCCGCGTGGAGCTCGGGGAGGTGGAGAGTAAGTTGGCCGAGCATCCGGAGGCCCTGCTGTGGATCCTTTTTCAGGGTCTTTTGGGTTTTGTTCTTGGGGTTGGGGGGTTTAGGTTTTTTTGGGGTTTAGGGGTAGGGTTTTTAGGGTTTGGGATTTAGGTCTTAGGATTTAGGGTTTAGGGTTTAGGGGGCACTCTATCGGTCCTATTTTAAAATGGAATCCTGTAAAGGGGTGCTACAAGGAGTCCTATGACAGGGTCCCTTTGTGGGCACAGGGTTACTATACGATCCTATAGGGAGGCCCTAGACCCTAAACTGGGCTCTTGTTCAGGGATTTAACTGAAGTTACCATAAATAGGGATCTATAATACATTATATGGTTTCCTTCCATTATTATGGCAACTTAAAATTAAACCCTTAACAATAACCAAGTAAACTTTCCCTATGATGGTAAACTTTATTAGCAAAAAAACTCTGCAAAGCTTTTAAAGGTTCTTTTTCAATCGAGGCTTTTGAACCCATGGGCTCAAGATGAGGAAGCCAGGGTCTCTTGAACGATTCTATCATGGCTGCAGGCTGCCGGGGGGTTTGGAGGTCTTGGCCTGAAGGGTTTTAGGATTCTTAAGGTTTAGGGTTTAGAGTTTAGGGTTTAGAGTTTAGGGTTTAGGGGTGCAGTGGTTTAGGGTGTAGGGTTTATGGTTTTGGGGTTTTAAACTCTAGGGGTTTGGAGCGCAACCTCTGTGACAACTCCGTTTTTCTTGGTCTTTTCAGGAACATGAAGCGAAAGGCCTCACCGCGAAAGCTTCTGAGCAACGCTGACGCTGACCAATCGAACACAGGAGGCCCAATGATGAGACCAGGGTTCCTTTGAGGGTCTACAAGGAACCGATGCTAAGGTAGGGGTCTTGATCATTTGAATAGGGCTTTTGGGGGGTGTATCATGTGACTCGTTCGTGCGCCCACTGGCAGGTGGCAACTGCAGTCGTTCTACTCTCCGAACAGGGCCTTTCTGCCACCTTTTTCAGTGCTTTCGGGTTTAGGGGTCTGGGCATTGGCTGTCTCGCAGAGCGATTCTTGCGGCGCGCTTGCAGGGAGGTCTGAGCGGAATTTTTGTGGAAAGGATTAATCTTAAGTTCGAGGTTTAGCCGGAAGGGCTTGGCCCCTTACATGTCCCATGGCCTAAGCACACGATGCCTCAAGTCTTCCAAGGTTACACAGCCCTCGAAGAGCAAAGCAAATCGAAGCCTGCCCCCACCTGCCCCCACCTTGTAGAGGCCTCCACTTGCATTCCAGGTGTTGTGAAAATGTGCTTGGACTGCTAAAATGCCCTGAAAGCCCAGAAGCTTGTAGAGCCCAAGCAAAGCAAGCGATCCCAAGAGCTAGAAGAGGAGTGAATGCTGCAGGGCTTAGGGTCTTTAGGGTTGTGGTCCCATGCCATGGCATGTTCTTGGGGGCCTTGGAGGTTTGTGACTGCGTCATGGCCCCCCCTTTTTGCATGACATGATGGCACTCTGCCACTTGGGTGAGACGACGGGCCCCCCTTGCGAGTTTGACGTACAAAGCTCATACGTGCACTTGCAATAGCGCGCAATGCCCTCGACATCACACTGCCTACTCGTCGCAAAGACACGAAGAGGGCCAGACTGTCTGAGAGGGCTGAGGCTGAGGTGGAGGAGCATCCGTGGCTCATTCCGGTAAGGTCCATCCGGTTTACACATAATCGGATCTCCAACCATTTTGGGTATCCAGAGACTCGCACTTTTCAGGAGCTGGTGAGTGCTCTCAACGAAGGACTCGTGGTCAGCCACACCGCGGAGTTCCTCCGCCTGGAGCTTTTTGCGTGGAAGGGGCAATATTTTTCCATCAACAACCGGCGGACGTATTGCCTTTGGAAGCATCAAGAAGAGAATCCTACCCTCGATGTACGCATCCATCCTTGGAAGATTCATCAGCCTCTGTCAGATGGCCACGTGCCACGATACGAGAGCAAGGTGAACAGCCTCTTCTGGAGGATGTTTTCAACAACGAGGGGTGGGTGCGAGGTTCTCATCGGGGGCCGGCCTGGTCAAATTTACCGTCTCCCATTGAAGCCCTTGCTGTTGCCACGCCCTCCTTCCTCCATTCCGGAACATAAGGAGATCGAAGATGAAGACGAGGACATCGTCAAAAAAGAGTTGGGTTTGGAAGAAGATGCTCGGTGCCTGGGCCTTGTCAACTTGCCCCAAAGTGGGTCTGTAGCAGCTGATGATGCAGCGAGCGCCGGTGACTTCGAAGAATTCGGGCAAAGTGTGCCGGGCATCTGTCTTCGTGATGTGCTCATGGAGAAACTGCCCAAGCAGGCAAGCGGACCAAGCGTTTGGTTTATTTGCCCGCGGACTCCGTATGGAACTTCACTGGCCAGTAAGGTAGAGCTTTTCTGGCGTCGGCATTGTGGAAAAGCGGCCGCCAAACGTTTGTTGCCGGCTTTGACCGAGAATGCCATCGAGCGCCAGACTGTGAGGCAAGTGAAAGCGATCGTGGCTTCCTCCACTGCAGCGCTGAAGCACGTTCGGGAGCTCCAAGGCATGCAGCTGCGGACAGTGCTGCTGGTGCCGTGCAAAGAAGATGCGGAACATCAACTCAAGTTGGTCCAGCACATTTCAGCTGCTGCTGAACTGGTGTTGTTGCCGCGTCAGGCCTTGGAACCAGACCGACAGATGGTCACCAAACTGCAAGCAGCTGCTGGGCCTGCTCTTGCCGTGACGGTTCATTGGGCCACTCCCGAAGGTCTCGAGCAGTACACGATGCCACTCCATGATCGATGCCGCTGGCGCCTGGTCGCATAGATCAAAACGCGACCGGAAGAGCTTCAGGCAGTTGGGCATCACCTTACAATCCATATATATATATATCTATATATATATCTCTCTCTCTCTCTCTCTCTATCAGCATGTGTATATATATATATATACACACGTACGAATTTACATGTCTATATATATATATACAGATAGACATATATATATATATGCATCTACCTATTTACACTTATATACAAGATAGCGCAGCATAGTGCACCCAAGATTCTAATGTGTAAGTCTCCAAGCTCGATCCCAGTTTGCCAGGTGACTCTCCTGAGTTGTGGGCGTTCGTTGCCACGGCACCAGCAGCAAGCATGCAAGGAACCCTGGCTGAAGCTTGGACCCAATCCTTTAAACCTGTCGGTTATGGTGTCGAAGCTACTATTTCGGCACACAGGGCTGGGATTTCAAGCCCCGCAGCAGTGAAAGTTCGCTAACATCGCAAGGTTCCACAAAAACACGCACATTCACATGCACACATACACACACACACACACACGCATACACACACGTACGTTGGCCTGACAGGAAGCACTTTGCAAGACACACCCTTTCATGAACCATGCCTTTTCCTTGCGACAGGATACCAGTCGACTCTCCGCAGCAGCCTCCGAAACCGGTGCGCAGAGGCGATGCTGGGAGGGGACATGTGTTTTGTCCCAGATTGGCAATTGCTTGTAAGCATTTCGGTCCACAAAGTTTTGGGTATGTCAGTTGCAAAGTGAAGCAGTTAGAAGATGATTTCCAGGACGAGTGTATTTCATGAGCATGGTCGTCATGGTCATCTTCATCAACATCGCCATGCTCATCGTCGGGCTCGTGCTTACAGCTAAAAGTCGAGGGAAATGTTTTTATGTTTCGACGGTTTTGGACGTTAAACCCTCCTGTAAATCCCACGCAAGCCAATTGCCATCTTACGTTCCGTCGTATCCCGGTGTCCTTGGATTGTATCACAGCCCTGCAGTGTATATCATGATGCCAGGAGCTGCCTAGCCATGCAATCCCACAGCGGCTCGCGATTCTGGACGGAGGGCATCGGCTAAAGGGCCTAGATGATTCGGACTTGGATCTCGGATTGCATCTTTGTGTCTGGCGGTTTCCTACTCTTTCACGTTCTCTCTCTCGTTCTCTCTCTCTCTCTCTCTCTCTCCTCCTTTCTACTTGATTATCTTGTTCATTGCCAGTTTTGCTCCCACTTTTTGGGTCCATGTTGCCGGCTACTGTTTTGGTTTGCTTGGACCGTAAAGCATGTCCTTTGTCAGACTGTTAAGTTCTTTGTTGTTTGTTGCAGGGCCAGCAGTTTGACTGTCGTCACGAAACCTGGAATTTGGGACATCGGGCCTTGCCAACGCGAGACACCCGGAACTGCAAAATTTTGGACGCTGTTTGCTGCGTCTCGAAAGCAGCAGCGAAAAAACCAATCAGCTGAGCGGCTACGTTTTGAACGAGAAGCATTTATAAGGCCTCAAACCCTAAACCCTAAACTCCGACAGCCCTACACCGTAAACCCCAAGAAACAAGGCTCCAAAGCTTCATTCGAGGGTCCATGTGTGGAGGATAATTTGCCTCTTCTTCCCAGTGGAAAAATCGATCGTCTTGAACAAGAAGCACTTACGTCCTCAAACCCTAAGCCCCGAAAGCCCTAAACCCTAAACCCCAAGCAACAAGGCTCCAAAGCTTCATTCGAGGGTCCATGCGTGGAGGATAATTTGCCTCTTCTTCCCAGTGGAAAAATCGATCGCCAGAAGCTGCTGGCAGGCCCAAGGGCTCCAGCGGCTTGCATATGGTAGAAGACCCTTCATAGGGTTTAAGGTTCAGGGTTTAGGGTTGTGTAAGGTGGGAACCCGTTCGAGATTGAGGTTGGGTTTCATTGTTTCAGGCATGTTTCTGATGGACGCAGTTCTGCCTCAATGGTTTCTGACGGTCTTGAAACAAACCGGTTTCAGAGAGACGAAGAATCCCGAGCCCAGCATTTACGATGAAGTGTTGGATCCAACTGGGGTCACAGTTGTTTCTTGGGTTCAAGGTTGCGGGCATGGATTAACCCGAAGCCTACACCCTAATTGCCCTAATTCCCACGTCTCAGTTACTACCCTTGTCAATACTGCACTTGGCAAGGCCCCTAGATAGCTACCAACCATCCCCATCACGGTGAAAAAGCCTTCCCTGTAGTGCCAAATGGTCTGACACCGAGTTCGGACGTTAACAGAAGTTTTCAGGTCCGCCACCACCCCCCCTTGCCGATGCCACTTCCAAGACTTCCTCGACGGAGGTGCGCTGCTGATCTGAAAAACCAGGAAATGATTGTGGATTCATGGTGGGATGTTTCCCATGCAAGCACCCGGAAATGAAGGTACCTGTTGGAAGACTCAGCAGTCCAACCTCAGAGCTCTGCGATGGCTCGCTTGTTGCTGGCAACCTACTGGTTTGGGGTGCCCATAAAATGTTTTCTAGCATCAGAAGTCGAACCAGCGGTAGCGCAAGCAGTTGCAATCGTAGTAGCAGAAGCATGAGGACGATGAAGAAGACCGCAACAACGGCTGAAAATGGATGCATCATGGTAAACAGTGACGCTGCTTATCCTGACTTGAAAACCAGGTGAAAAAGCCTCGCAGAGACAAGCACCCCAAAACACAGCCCATCAAAGCAGCTAACCAGCTCATAGTCGTAGGATCTCACCGAAGCGGAGGCGGAAGGATCGCTGCGGCAGACGGTGGCGGAGCTGGTGGAACGAGCAACCGGTGTGGCAGTGGAGGTCTGGGCTATGCCCAATCCTTGAATCACCAAGTTCCTTGATGGTGATTGTTCAGGAGGTTAAGGAAGAGGCCTGGGCCACTGTCAGATTAACACGCCACATGTATCAGCGCATGATTTGCCACATTGTTGCTGTCGCACTTCTTCCCATGATTCTGTCGTGGTGCTTTCTATTCTGCTTCTCTATCACGAGCTGCTACTGCTACCATTGCTCCTATTTGTGCCCAACGGGTCACCTTCAAAAGTCTATAGCCATTCGCCCGGCAGGCCTCGAGGCTTTGCCCATGCACCAGGGCCTACTCTACTTCTACGATCAGAAGGTCTTGCCCGACCCATCCTGAACAGGGTCTCACTTCTAAGCCTCACGGCGACCCGAGAAGTGTTTTGTACAACGCTGAAACACGGAACCAGTTCCGTAACTCTGAGCGTGTCCGGAGCTAGCCACCCCATAATTACCTCTCCTCAGTTTTCGGACGGCAGGATGCTTTGCTAAAATCCGAACGTACATCCGCGCCACTGAGCCTGGAATTCTTAAGCTGCCCAGCCGCACACCTTCAACTGAAGCCCCTACAGCCTTTGGGTAGGCATGGATGATCTCATGCAGCATCATGAACATCATACCAGGGAAAGGGCCAGGGTTCAGGGATGGAGCCTCTAGAACAGCCTACAGAGGCCTGACACGAGAGACAAGTTCTATCATCCACAGCTGCTCCACCTTCACCCGAACACAACCCCATCAACCCGAAGCCTCATGATAACACGAAAGAAATTCTGTTGCGAAACACACATCCGAAATGTCACCTTGCAGGAGCCTGAAGAACCCACAAATTCCCAGTAGCCCTAAACCCTAAAGCCCGGCTCTCGAAAGGACTCGGACGAGCTGACTGCGCTGGGCATCGACTCGGTGAGTGCTTCCGGCTTCAGCAAGAGGGGAAAGAAGAGGGGAGGGAAGATGACGCTGAAGAGGTTTAGTGCGTGGGTTTAGGGGTTAGGGTCTCGAATGGGCGTAGGATTATTCCATGACTCCTGCGGAAAACTACGGGGCACCTCCCCAGAGTTCTCTGACTACGCCGGACTGTGAACCCACAGCTTGCTCCAAACGTCCGCAGCCCTGGCTGTGACATGGCCAAGTCGGTACACCCGAAAACCTTCCTTTCCACAAAAAGAAGAGTAAAAACAGTAGTCACAAGTTTTGACTAGCAGCCTAGCACAATACTACTACATTCCTCCCGGTGTTTCAGGTGCTGTGCCTCTTGCAGAGCTGCTGTCCACAAGCATCTTTGTCATAGTTGGATAACATTTTGCATGTATTTTGGGGTACTTAAACCCAATAAGGAATACAAATCCCTAAACCCTAAACCCTAAACCCAATAAGGAGTACAAATGATCATTTTCAACACTATCCCAACCATGACCTAGGCATTCTGCACGGTGCCGCGGTGCCCTTGGAAGACCTCTATGTGCCTTCCTGAGACTCTCCAGGCTTGCGAGAAAGGTGCCAGGTCATCGAACACAAGGACATGTAGTATGATATACTGTAAAATAATGGAATGTAAAAAATTGGATTAGTTATAAGCTATAATCAAATATATCGTATAAGAGAGAATAATGTAACAATATTATCCAATAGCTTGAACAGGTGAGAGTTCATCCGTTCCTGCAGAGTGCTCTGAGTTCTCAGACGGGCGAGTGTTTAGTGAGCAGTCCTTCCCGGAGTGTCTGCACTTGGAGCAGCCACAGTAGGGCTACAAAGCATTGTAGTGTATAAGACTCGGGGCATTCGGGTTTAGGATTCTGTGAATTTCAGGGTTGAAGGTCTTTTTGGAAGTTGCAGCCGTAGCTACGGTAAACCCTTAAGCACCCATGCGCACAGTTGGAGCTTATCTTGGTCATTTTGTAAGTATAGTATGTTGTTAGTGTACTAAAGGTATATTCTTAGTATAGTATTGGTATACTATGTTATGTTCGACTTCTTAGTGCCCCTTCTCAGTTGTCCGTAACGTGGAAGAGTCCCTGCAATGTGCGGGTGCAGAGTTGGATTCCGCTTTACACTTTTGAGCATAGTACCATCATGATATGGGGACTCTAATAATGGGACTCCTCCTAGTATTCCGATGGCTGTAGGATGCCCCTTGAACTGAACAGAGCCCCAAAAGAAGCGAAGATGTGACAGAGCGCCCTGGAGGCATTGAGGCCTCGGTCTAAAGGAAGGGATTGAAGCCTTGTTTCAGAAACCTCTCTGTGCATTATAGTCCCAATATGTAGTCTGGTAGAATATTCCACCGCAGGCCTAGTCAATGCATTTAGGCCCCTCCAAATAAAAGTGAGGTGAGGAAAAAGCAAATGGCCTGAGAAAGCCAATTCCCCACATTCATCCTGGTTCGCGCTGCTTAGGTGTACAGCACGATGGCTTCGCTCTGCGTCTACTTGGAAGGCACCGTTTTCCGGCAAGCGAGGTTTATCGTCAGAAGCCCCCGAAAACGGGAAGCAATTCAACTTACCGCTCGCTAAGTTTCGAAGGGCTCTCTCAGACACGACCGGGTCGCACCAACACCAACTCCAGCCTCCAGATTTGCCTCTTCACAACTGTAGGAACACGAGCTCTGCACTGCCTTCGTCCCACTGCTAGTCTGCAGATGGCACCTGCATTCTGGTGGAGTCAGGGTTTCATGAAGCGCTTCTTGTAGAAGCCTGAATAATGAGGAATACTGTTCCTTAGACAGTTCCTCTTGGAACCATAGTCTAATTTTGCCCAAAAGCTTATTCTACTTACTAGGCTCCCATATTATTGCGAGATGCCCTGAGCAATGTGGTCTTGGAATGTCTGACCAACGGCATGGGGAGCCGACTTTCCATGAATTAGAGGATTGAGAGTAAGTTGCCATAATAAGGAAAGCTTGCTATTTACTACAGATCATCCCTATGATGGTAACTTAAATTGAACCCCTTAATTAAGACCCCGATTCTCAAGAGAAAGAAGAATTCCGAGACCACGAAGGCCTCCCGTAGCCTAGTAGTGGACAGGTAATCTTCAACCTTCTTCTGGGTTTTTTGTTAAGGGATGTAAATTAAGTTACCATAATAGGTGTCTAGAGTAAATATGGTAAGGTTTCCTTATTAGGGTACCTTAAGTTACATCTTTTGAGAAGAACCCAGTCTTGGGGTACTGTAATCCCGATATACTCCTAAAGCTTAACCCTTAGTTTTCAAGGATACTGGACAGGTAGGGTAGTTAAGAGTCTTCCCAATTAGATCAGACAAGTGGCTGGGCTATCCGAGCTGGAATACATCGAAACAGTCACGAAAACCCATAAGCACACATACGTAAGAACCCTAAACCCTAAACCCCTAAACCCTAAACCCTGAACCCTTAACCCTAAACCCTAAGCCCTTAGCTTAACCGCAGGATCCTCGAAGCCCTCGGGCCCCCCACGGGACTACCAAAGCATGTGCCTTATTGAGCCCATGGGTTTTAGCGGAGTTGGTCCTGCCTTCATAAATGTGTGGTGACTTGGGGTGGGCAGCGTGGTATATGAAAATGCTTGAATATGCGTCGAAAGTCGGTACTCATGTAATTCCAAGTTGCATGCTTTCGACACGCCAGATCATGAGGACCTACGGTTGATGATATAAATCCTGCATTACCCACAATAAGGAATATACCCATAATTCCCATAGTTCAGGGTCCTTAAGGTAGTGCTAAGGATGTATATCATCCACAGTATTTTTTTAAAGGCACCCGAAACCAGAGGCCTGAAAGCCCCCTCAACCCGAAACTTTGAGCCCGGAAACCTCAGCCCGAAAACACGAGCTAGGCCCACAACCCTCAACCTTATAGGGTTTAGGGTTTAGGGCAAACCCCTAAACCCTTAAACCCTAAAGCCCAAAAAACCCTTAAAGCCTCAACCCATCTATGAGCCCTTAAACCCTGAAGCCCCACGACCCGTTCTTGAGCTGAGCCTTCGGTCGGAACAGCCCGGAAGGTCGCCTTGAGGAGATTGGGAAGTCGAAGAGGCATGGGTTGCGGGTGTTTCTTTTTAGGGCTCTTTAAAGGGAGCTATAAGGGTTTTCATAAGGCTTCTATAAGGGTACTCTAAGGGGTCTTTTTTGGGTAGTTCTCTAAATGGGTTTAAGGGCTTGGGGGTTTTGGGGTTTAGGGGTTAGGGGTTTCGGGTTTAAGGCTTTTAGGGATGTAAGGGTGCAGGGGTTTAAGGGTTTTGGGGTTAGGGTCCCTACATAACCCTGCCGGGAACTCTCGGAGAGCCCTGGACCCTGAGTAACTTAAAGGGTTCCCTAAAGGGCTTAGGGTTTAGGGGGTTGTAGAAGGGATTTACACGGGTTCGGTGCTTTAAGGATCATGGGACTGTCAGAAGGCTTAGTAACTTAAAGGGTTCCTTCAAGGGACCTACGAGGGTTTAGGATCTTGAGGATGATGGGACTGTGTAACTAGAGACCTTGTAGAAAGCCCTACTTAACGGATCATTGGGACTAGGTAGTTTAAGGGGTTCCTTAAAGGGTTCCTTTAAGGGATCTATAAGAACTCTACACTGGGGGGGTTTTGGGGTTGTTTAAAGGACCAGGGATTTAGCAAAATAGGGGTTTCTAGAAATTAAGGCAACTAGACCTTGTAACCTTAACCCCTAAACCCTTAACCCTGGAGTCAACTTGCTTAAACCATGACTCGGATGAAACCCAGCTATTTACGTGATGTAGGGACTTAAATAATTACCAAGACTATGTTGAAGGTTCCTTATTGTACGTAGATATAGCACAGTATACCCCAAAAGCCTAGTCTAATTATTAAGGCCCTATGTTAACGGAATGTTCGTTGTTGTCTGCTTTCATTCGGTCCTGCCTGGCACACTTAGGCGCAAGCTTTCTTCAAATTTGGGGCATAGGGTTTAGGGAAAAGTGAAACCTGAATCCCCTAAACCCTGAACCGCTTCGGGTTCCCTATTATGATCTCCTCATCTAAGGTCCTAGACAAAGGTTCTTCGGCGTTCTTCGGGGTCAGGTCGGGTGTATGGGGGCTCATACGTAAGCTTAAGGTTTATGAGGGTCAAGGTGCAATAGGAAAATTGTTGCCAAAATATGTGGGCTTTGGAAGTTGTCAGCAGTCATGTCAATTGGTGAGTCTTTGGGGGGGCAGAGAATCCACATTTCGAGGGCTTGGGAAGGGCGCAGAATTGCCCAAACAATCAAATGTGGCTCCAAGGTGTAAGTAATCTGGTGTTTTGCTGGTGCTTCGATGGCGTGCACAAGGTAAGCCAATTTAGTGGGTTTGGAATGACCAAAACACAGAATGTGGGGTCCCAAATCTCGAAAGCTGGAAGGATCCGAAATGGCCAAAACAGCAGTTCCACAGCTCGCACTGTGGCGCGACGCACATGATCGATGGAAATCGCGCTGCCACAACCCGCACGCGGGAATGCCGAATTCGTTGGAATCGCGCTGGGCTGTGGTGGTTCATGTGTTTAGGCGTTCGGACGGAAACCGTTTCCCTAATCTAGGAACCCGATTAAGAAACCCTGGCCTTACAACCCCAAATATTTTTGGGTTCATATTAACCAAGAGCCCAAACAGGGACCCAATGTTTCTTCATAGCTCAGGTTCCTATATTACCCCGCATTAGTCTCCTCGCGGTGTGGTTTACGGTTCTCAGGCTTTGCCACAATGCCGCACGGATCCGCCCCCCCCCCCCCCTGTTTTCCTGCTTTCGCGGTGGTCCTGCATGCTTTTGGAGGGGTCTAGGCTGGCATGAGATGCATACGACAAAAGTCACGGCATTCATTCGTTCACTCTTTGCTTATGAAGTTTGCTTTGATGTCCCATATAGAAATGAAGTCCACGCGCGCACGCGTGTGTGTGTTTGTGTGGTGTGTGCGTGCGTGCTGCCTGAGGTTGGCCTGCCGCCTCAGTTGTTGTTCTAGGTGCATTTCTTCAGAGCTGTGACAGTGTGACTGCTTGGTAAGAAAGCAACCGCAAGCCTAACCCCTAAAGGCCCTGAACCCTGAATCCTAAACAAGCCTAGCTTCAGAGGGTCATTGCACATTAAAGACAAAAACAAGCCTATAGCTTCTAGATCTTCGGCTGCTCAATTCTTCCCTGAGGCCCGGCACCGGACGGCGCTATGCCGAGATCAAGAAGGGAGCACGGCTCAGTTTCGGAGCCTGCGCGCGGTTTGCTGTTTCCCGTTAAAGGCTACTACAAGTGCGGATCTTCAGAGCTCTTGCCTGGAAGTTTCTGATTTGGGGGGTTGGGGGGGGGGGGGGGTGTATGGCGTTTACATTGCAGCTTCTGCGGCGTAGCACTTAAGGACGCATGTTGGTTTAGCTGCACATTCCCAGGCTTCCAGGTCAAACCTCAGTCTACCGAACCTCACATCGCAGTTTCAAGACTGTCTGCAAGAGGCAGTCAGTTGAAACGCTGTTTTGCTTATAGCCTTGTCGGTTATTTCGAGGATCAGGGGACGTAGCAAGCATGGCTATGAAATTACCTCATTAAGTCGTCCTTTAAGTAAGTCTTCCCAGACCAAGGGAGCCGTAATTATGCCGTCCAACCATCTATAGTTTAAACGCTATGGCAGAACATTGATTTGGTACAGAGGTATGAATAGTTGGAAGTACGATCCCTTGCGGCATTCTATTTGGGGCTGAAGCGAAGGGCCTCGCAGGGTTTCTGGTCACTTCGATGGCTGTGACAACACTGTTGAGTAATGCGTACTTTGTTTAGGTCAGTGATGGTGAACTGGTGAAGTTTCGAAGATGCAGGAATGGATGCGAGATAATGTCGAAGCCTGTACGGCAAATCTTGAGAGCCCCTTTATAATGCCTTAAGCCTAAGTAACTAGTAAGACCATTCCTGCCTAGCTCCGATTGTAGTACGGCTACTGTTTACATATACTCAGGCACGCCAAGAAATCGGTATTTGCAGGGCTGCTAACTCGGGCTTTAGTGTTTAGGATGTGGCATGAGCTTCTTTCAAGCCACATGTTATGGGGATGCGAGCCGCCATGCCTCATCTAGATATTTAGAGACAAAATGATACAATGGCCTGGGTACACAAAATTCAGGTCCGGGCTTTTGAGGCCTCACATAGAAGCCTGAATGGGATCAATTTATCTCTGAAAACAGGTACCCTTCCCCGCAAAAAGACAAAAAACAACAAAAAATGTTGAAGGCCCCCCTTTTTTCTGTGCGAAAGAGCCGAACGTCGAAGCCCACGAAGGCGTGCAAAGCCTGAGTACCAAAAGGGCACCAAACCCGCGAAGTCCAAATTCCTTCCACCCCTGAACCCTAAAACCCTCAACGCTAAACCCTAGAACCCTAAGCTCGTTAAAACCCGAAACCCTTAAACCTTCAATACCACACCCAGCCGCAAGGCTTTTCAGCTGTCTTGGGCAATAAAGGCGAGTAGGAAAAAATGCATGAAAAATCTTACATGATGCGCTAAGACCCTAAAGGTTTAGGGTTTACGGCTAAAAAATGCTTGAAGCCGAAGCCCCTTAAGCTCTGAAGGTCCGACTCAAACCCACCCCGAGCCTTTCTCCGCAGGTTCCGGACCAGTGAGTTTCATGAGAAATCGTGTTGCATCCAAGATACTTGGTTCGGGGTTCGTCTTGGTAATGTAAGTATAGTCATTGGATCATTAGTAACATCATTCCCTCATTCACTGATCGTCCTTACATAGTCATAAGGAGAATGTACCCAAACGACCCTCTTCCAACTGTTAAGACCCATACAGTACCCAAAAAGAGTCCTTGTAAAGACTGCTTAAAGCATGAAGGCTTTGGACCAGGACTCCTAGAGGATGAAAGCCGGAAGCAAAGAACAGTTCTCAACAGTTAATGCCATGACGCAATGAAGCCCGAGCTATGGTGCGAATGCGTCTGTGCCGATCAAAGGCCAACCATGTGGGGGATTCAGGCTTCAGGAACTCTTCAGGTAAAGGGCGTAAAGACGCCGAGAGTGGTGCTAACTACTAGGCTAGAGAGTTCAGAGATGTACCATTGGGGAATTCTGGCTGTTGCCCCGATGTCCATAGAAGCTGCCCCTTCGGTGTGCCCCTGAAGGCAAGAAGAGAGTCAGTGGACACGCCAAGCGCTTGCGGCCGTGGACGGACCGGGTGCGCATGTGGTGTAATGAGCCAGTAAGCAACTGAAACGAGATCTGCTTGGCCTCAAGATAGCCTCCACGCCGCAGGATGCGAGGATGAACCCGTTCGAAGTGATCCGATCTCCGCTGATAATGGTCTTTCACATTCTGAGTGTTTGGGAGGTGTGGCAGCGAGCATCAGTTTCGGACTTGCCTCCGCTACCCTGAGTCAAGTCCGCGTGGCAGATGGGCCAGGACTCGGTGAGCATGACTCAAAAGCAGGGTCATCATAGAGCAAGCGCGGCATATGGACTCAAAACTGGATAATTTTATATAATCTCACCCTTTCTGATAACACTCGGCATTCTAGTACTAGCAGGTATGCCTAGCTCGCTCTACGAGAGCCAGAACCCCCCACCAGCAAAACCTTAGTAGAAGACCCGTGCTGCTTCGGCTTCAACCCCCCTGAGCCTTTACCCGGTCCAAACCCAGAGAGCCCAGACCCCTCCCTATCAAAGACTACTCCTTAAATCACAAGGGCTAGGTCCCTGAGTAGTACGCTGTTGCCCTTTTAGTTTAGGGCCCCCTTCCTAAAACCGAATACTCAGGAACCAAGAGGGGCGTCCGTCTTGTTGTGATGGATGCTTTGGCATCTTCTACACTTCAGGGGGTATATTCCTTGTCTCCCGAAACAGCAGGAAGCTATCCAGCAAGCACCAGCGTTTGCATCTCCTCCCAGCGAAACACCGCCAGCGGCGGCTTGCATTCCGCTTTCTCTCCGGAGCTCGATGACCCCACGCGAAGCCAGCTTCGCCTCAGCACCTCGAACTTTAGGGCCCAAAAGGGGGGGGGGGTGCAGTGTACTATAATGTACTACAATAGTGTTGGTAAATTAAATGTATACAAATTATATGTATAGACTACCCATTGTGTACTATAATGTACTATAATAGTCTATAGCATACCATCATGCACTACAACGTAGAGTCCACGTTGTACTAGACTCTGCATGGTAGAGTCTGGGCTTAGGGGTCCTAAGTTTTGGAAGAACATGACTCAAACGGTTGTTTTTTGCTGGGCAAGGAGATCTGTGAGATGAGCACTGTTGGGCTTATGACATACTCTCGCAAAAATGATCATAACATAGTAGAACTCGTACAATGCAGAAGAGTATCGTAGAGGAGGGTATAATATAGCTAGTCTACTAGACTATATTGCCTTAACCCTAAACCCTAAACCCTTACATTCGAACCTTGAGTAGCTGCTTCACGGCTCTCAACGACCGGTGAGACGGCTGAGGTATGACGCGACGGCTGCAGACAGGCCAGAGCTTCGAAGTGACTCAGGCAGGGTTGAGGATTGAGGGGGTTTAGGGTGTAGGGTTAGGGTGTAGGGTTTAGGGTTTAGGGGGATGGAGCAGTATGTAGTCGAGCTTGCTGTGTGGAATTTGGAAAAATACCCACGCACCCGGAGAATCCCAAAACATTGAGAACATACAAAAATCACCCTTTTCCCTAAGCCCCAAACGAAATCCCAAACCCTAAACGAAGGAACGGAATCCTAAAGGGAATCCCAAAAACAGCCCTTAACCGAAACCCTAAACGGATGTCCTTCCCACGAAGAAACGAACCTTGCCCACGAAGAAAACGAGCCCTGCCTACGAAAAAAAACGGCCTCACGAAGAAACAGACCTTGCCCACGAACCTTGCCCACGAAGAAACGCACCTTGCCCACGAAGATCATTGAGGTTTAGATTACCATTAGATGGAGAGAGGTTAGGATTTAGGGTTTAGGGTTCCTGTCAAGGGTTTCGGGGGTCCTGTTAAGGCGAAGGGTGGGTTTAGGGTTCAGAGTGTCGAGTCTAGGGCAAGTCCTCAGAGAGTCCAATACCCCTTAGACCTGAAATCATCATACTAAAGCCCTTATTAGTTAAAGGCAAGTCCCCGAAATAATGTCTGATACTTTTTTTGGTGTTCCTTACTATAGTTATAGTATATAAGTCGGACGGGCTCCTGTTAAGGCTAAGGAAATATTAGGGTTGAGAGTCAAGTGTTTAGGGGTCTAGGGTTTACGGTTTCAGAGAGCCCAATACTCCTTAAATATAAGGAACATAATATACCTTAACCCCAAAGAACCTACCTTTTTTAAGGACTCTTATAAAGAAACTATAACAAGGAGCCCTAAAAAGGTAGGTTATTTGGGGTCCAGGTATACCTTTGATTGTAGGGGGCCTTAATCCTCTGATTGAAGTTGATGTTCCTTCATTGCGGGGTATTGGGCTCTCTGGGTCTAGGCGGTGGGTTTGTCAGACATGCTTTTGAGGTACAGAGGGGATGGTGAGTCCGGTGGAGTTTCAGTAGGATTCCACCTAAACCCTAAACCCTATGAACCCTAAAGCTCTGAACCCTAAACCCTAAACCCTACACCCCTAAACAACCCTAAACCCTAGATAAGAAGGATACAACCCGTGAATTGCGGCAGTCACCTCAGCGACTTCTCCTCGGATGTTCAGCGCATGTAGAATTCATTGAGTGACATTTGGACACTGCTCCCACTCAGACGCAGTTGAATGTTTCTTGATAATATAGATATGTAAGGCCCTGAATAGTAGGCCTATCAGAGACTGTTACAGCGTGGGGTTAGTGCCCACGTGATGATCATCATGAGCTAAAAGCCAGACTTGAAGACCTTCGTCGCACCAGTGCCAAAGCCAAGTGAAGGACAGCATCCACAGCACCACGGGCATCTTCTCTCCAGCACCAGCAGTTGGGAAGCAGAGCAAGAAGCAGACGAATATAGAAGCCTCCTCAATAGATACCAAAACTATTCCTTAGAATTCCTTATTATAGTTTGTAAATAAGGAGCCCAAAACCTCATTCTGATTATTACGGCCCCTACGTTAGCTAAGTTAGACTAGACAGAATCAGCTAGCGAACGAATATCACGAAGGATTTCACTGGCACACCACACGGTACAAAAATCCGGAACCCTACACCGTAAATCCGAAATGCCACCGGCTTTCCCTGAAAGGATCTGCTGAGAGGCTTGAGCCTGCGGTCTACGCTGCAGGGACTGGGCTGGATGTGGCGCCTGTCACCAAAGGAG